AACTCTGGAAGTTGAAAATTAGAGGGGAAGAATTTGCCCAAGTCAAAGGATAGTCGTGTGGAAAGACAGGCTTTAGAATCAATATGCAGGGGCGGTGCTCCGGCAACGAACTTTTCGAGAATGGTTGCGCAGATGGCGTGAGTCCAAATAACTCCAATGGTCAAATTATGGAAGATGAGAAGCTTCGGGTGTACACCTAAATCTTGCTACTACTTTCCTTATTTCTGTGCAGAATGGATGGACGTTTATAATCCTAAGTGGGTTTATATATCTCGCCGTATTTCTAAAACAGGCTTCGGTTATTTTATGGCTCTTACAGTTAATGGTACAAGTACGTTAATGAAAGGGACAAGGATGATGACTTGCAAAAGAAACAGGGACCACTTGCCTCAGGCGAGAGTGGCAAGACCAACTGCTGCCACTGACATTCTCAAAGAACTTGCAGACAACCTGTAACAACCCCTTAGGTACACGAAGTCCAAAAAAAATGCAAAAAGAAGCACTCAGCCAACACCTCAACATATACTGAGTCGACCCAGGCTCGAACCCTGCGAAGAGGCCGGAGACGTGAGTATGTTCATTGTTTGGATCAGATTGAATACTGATTTCGAGTTTCTAGTGAGGCGGAGATGGGGATGACGGCGATCTACTTGGCCGTGTCCGACTTTACAAACGGAGCGGTTTTGAACCTGGATGGCGGATTATCGTTGGTCAATCCTTGATTGATGTAGAGCCTCATTTGTTCAGTAGTCACGCGTGATGCACGGACGTTCGCAGTTTTTGCCCCTTTGACCGACCGGAGAAATTTTTCCAAGAAGACGATGGGTTTGCCGATGAACTTCATGTACAGAATATTTTCCAAATTTACATTGACAACAGCAGATATGAGATCCTCTCAGAAGAGGTATACAGAGAATGGTGTAATACAGCCACGAAAACACTGTAATTATGGTCAAACGACGAGCATCTGCGATATTTCACTGAAAACGTACCGACAGTCAAGCTAGATATTTGACCCAAGACAGAAACCACAGGAGATACGGAGAGAGCATCACGAGCCAGAAATATCTGAACAAGAGCAGGCGAATGATCTTCATGTTCCTGAGCCTAGTTCAATGAAAAAGTTGATGCATCAAGGCAATACAGCGAGGAGAATGATCACCGATAAGCGACAATCCTTTCTTGCAGGACCAGAATCCTGTACACATCTGGAATGAAATAAATATGCTAGGCGTGTACGAAGCGACCTGTGGAACGTACCACAGTCTTCACCAGACCTATTACGCACTGCAACCTTGATGTCCACGATTTCTGCCGCTAGTTTACGAAGAAGAGATTCCTTCAGTCGATAGTCCTTGCACTGTGATATTGCGTTTTGGGCCAATTCCAGGGTCATGGCAAGTTCAGAGGTCGTGGCGAGTTGTACTAGCTGACGCTCGATATTCTCGATTATTTTGCAAGCTTCGAATATTTCGAGGAGTAGGTGGACCGTCGTTTCGCAGGGAAGTAATATTGTGTTGCTGGGTTGGGACATTGCTGCTTGCTTGAAGAAAGGTATATGGTGGCGCTTCAAGTTGTATTTGAAACTCCGACGCTGTAACCGCTCCGATTCGTATACTGCGGCCATCTGGATGTCCAATCCTTGCTAGCCCTCCAAATCAATGCCGTTGAAATCGCTATCAGAGATAGTGAGTGCTCAGGCCACTGACGAAGACAAGAAGCTTTTTTCGAAAAAGGTTTATAAAGATACGGCAACATGAATATCATTTTGCTTCAACCAACCAATGTTTTTGGCTTCAAAGGAGTTCTATTCTCATCTATCAATTCCAGCGTAGAAGTGGAGCCTAGAAATGAGGACGAGAACGAAAATAGCGCGACGATGCACACATATACATGTCGAAACTGCTCACAGTTTACCCGGCACCGATAGAGGGCGAAGGTGGCCATCTTACGCTATGAGCTCGACTGTCTATTGTTCGTCTTCCTTGGCCCACCTACCCTTCCGGCAAGTCGTTACGTACTCAGGGTCCCTGGGATTATACTGTTTCATTGGGATGAAGCACTGAAAATGATAAACACAAAGTATGCGAACTGCTATAGAATTGATGTGTTACTTACTCAGCTACTAAGGAATTCCGAATCTTCTCTTTCTATACCGGTTTTCTCAACGCTTTAACTCTTTCAAGGCCATCGAAAAAAAAAAACACACACGCACAAGAAATCCTTTCTTCACATGACGAGCTTCCAGAATAAGAGTGGCCTCAATTTAGGTCATGATGCTGACGGTTTGTCGGAAAAGATGAACGGCGTCGGATGGGCGATAAACCGCTTATTCAGTTGTGCTGAATAAGTGGTGCAACTTCTAATAAAAGGGCTCACGACTGAAGGCCATTCGAGACCCTCGGCATGGCAGATCTCAGCATGGCTACGGTAATGTCACTATCTGGACGAGTGGGTCTCGTTACAGGCGGGGGCACGGGGATGTAAGGGTCAGTATTCTTCCTTACGGCTCGTAGTTGACCTTTCGATAGAGGATTTATCATCGCTAAAGCCTTTGCTGCAAATGGAGCCAAGGTATACATCGCTGGCCGAAGGCTGGACGTGTTGGAGAAAGCAGCTGCGTCTGTTACAGGCGTCCCCGGATCTATTGTCCCGTAAGCATTGTCCCCCGTCTTCCAGTTAAGCACCGCATGAAATGACGTGCCTACAGACTCCGGATGGACGTGACAGACGAAGAACACGTCAAGGCCGGCGTAAAGCATATCGAAGGAACCGACGGCAAGCTCGATGTCCTCGTCAACAAGTTCGTCGATAATCGCTGGGACCCCCTCCATTACCCTAACCTTTTGGCACTAGCGCCGGGTTCGCCTCCCCCGTTCGGGATCCTGACTTTGCCGCAAAGAGGTCGGTCGCAACGGACCCTCTCGAACCCGAGACAGTACAGAACTGGACAGATATCTTCGCCCTCAACACGATCGCGCCGTTCTTCGTCGTACGTGCCTTCCAATCCCTCCTTGTCAAAGGAGCGCATTCCCGTCCACAAGGTACCTCAAGTATCATCAACATCGGTAGCGCACTCGCAAAGTTAAACACAACCCCGCACATGGTTTGTGTATGTACCCTGCTGTTCCTTCCAAGCTTGATTCGGAAACTAACATGACCATGGTAGATGGCATATGGTGCGACGAAAGCAGCGTTGGAGAAGCAGACACTCGTTCTGGGGACGAGTTTTGCCCAGCGGGGTGTCCCCATCCGGGTGAACGTGCTGTCGCCAGGTGCATTTGCGAATGAGCTGACCAGTGCTGAGTTTATTGAGACGATTAAGACGAAGCCGCCACCTGGGTTCGTGGCGCCGGTACCTGCGAGGAGACTTGGGACGTGAGTATGCTCAGTCGCAATGCCGTGGAATCAATACTGATTGGTACCAGTGATGCGGAGATGGCGATGGCGGCGATCTATCTAGCAGTGTCGGATTATACGAACGGGGCGATTTTGGAACTTGATGGTGGAGCGTCGCTAGTGAATCCCTGAATGTTATTTCTATTTCCGCCGAGCCAAGCTACAGAACCAGTCATTAATTAGAAGTAGGAAACCAGGTGAAAGGAAAATAAGGCAAGCTCGAACACTTCATATGTTGGGTCTCAGTGGCGATTATAACCGATATGAAAGGGTCTGTTATCATTGTTACCCACTTGCAATCACCATTCCTTCTCTCTGTTTATGGCTTAGAGATATCTTCGATGGTTCTACAAGTCCTGCACATAGTATGAGTTCCTCTGGTATGCCTTCCACAGATCATCTCATAGTATGTTCCCCTTGTTTGAAATCATACTGTTCGGGGGTTATCAAAACCAAGTTCGTCTTTAGACGGGAATACCATGATATCGTTAGGTCGGTAACGTCAAAGGGGAAAAGTTAATTCCATAGATGTTCTACGTCAAACAACAAAACATTCAAGGATTTACCAGCGATGTTCCGCCATCAACACACAAAACCGCCCCGTTCGTATAATCCGATACTGCCAGGTAGATCGCCGTCGTCCCAATCTCTGCATCACTACAAAACTCGTTTCAACAACCGATCTCATCCAAACACTGAGCATACTCACGACCCATGCCTCCTGGCGGGTATCGGCGCCACAGCACCAGGTGCAGGCTTCGTCTTGATAATCTCCAAAATCTCAGGACCTATCAGCTGCGACGCAAACGCGCCAGGCTGCAATGCGTTCACCTGAATCGGGATACCCCTCCCGGCAAAACTCGTCCCGAGAACGAGCGTGAGTTTGTCCAGGGCTGCTTTCGTCACACCATAAGCCATCTGATCAACTCATTTCGATGCGGCTTTATGTATGAATATCAGGACAACGTACACATGCTCCGGGCCCAGGTGTGTTGAGTCTTGCCGCAATGCTGCTGATGTTGATGACGCTTGAGGTGCCTTGGGGGCGGGAATGGGCTCCCTTGATGAGGAGGGATTGGAAGGCGCGCACGGCAAAGAATGGGGCGATGGTGTTCAGCGCGAAGATGTCGGTCCAGTTCTGTATGGTCTCGGGTTCGAGAGGATCTATAGCCGCGTCCTTCTTGGAGGCAAAGTCTGGGTCACGAAGGGAGCTGGCGAATCCGGCACTGCGAAGAGATTAGCATGTGGAAGAGGCAAACGGGGCTATGATGTACGAACTTGTTGACGAGGATATCGAGCTTGCCGTCGATATCTTCAATATGCTTGGCGCTGGCCTTTACAGCTTCTTCGTCAGTTATGTCCATCTGCAATCTATGTGTGGGTAAGCAATGACTACATGGAAGAAAGGATGGTCACAGACGGGATAATGGACCCTGGCACGCCTGTAACTGACGCAGCGGCTTTCTCGAGCACGTCCAACCTTCGGCCAGTGATGTATACTTTTGCTCCATTTGCAGCAAAGGCCTTTGCAATCATAAATCCTCTGTCAGAGAGTCAATCACGGGTCGTAAATGAACGCCAGGAAACATACATCCCCGTCCCTCCGCCTGTAATAAGGCCCACTCTTCCCAACAGCGACATCACCACAGCCACATTAAGGTCCCCCATATTCTGCGAATGGTTCACAGTCTCCGACGCAGTCCCAGTCTTATTCAGCGAAACTGTATCGGCGATATATCGCTGATTCGACATTCGCCTTGTCCATCTTCTCCCATAACAGTCAGCATTGTGACTGAAGTCCCGGGCCGCAATCCTATCCTGGAAGCCTTCCACAGTCCAAAATGGCGAAAAAGTTGCGGAGACACGGGCTTGGTCATTTTTGAAATAGAACCTTGAGAACCGTTAAGCTGAGTAAGTGAAGCGTTGATTCTATCACGGCTCACTTTCATCATCGTTTCCTATTAGGTAATCCACCCTCAAGACAATCAGGCCAAGGTCTTTGTACTCAAGACCGCGTTTCCAAAGGAAGAGCTTGAATGATTTCTTGAACGAAGACGCGAAGATGGTGGGACGGCATCTAGCGTCAGAGCTTCAGATACGATTTGAAAAGACGGGTTGCCAGGAAGAGCGAGCTCCTGCGTGAATGATAAGGCAATGCTACATGGGCGCCTGCTTAGATTCAATCTCAAGGCGTACAAACAGGAGGGCACGTACCTTTTCTATCGCGTCTTTTTCATTACTTGCTGACTCGACGCAGGTCACCTCAATGATCAACCTCCTGTTCTTCGCTGAAGCCAGAAATACGAGTAAGGAGGGAAATCTGGCCGCTTATACCCGTGTCACGTACCTCGAAGTTCATCATTCTCAGCGCTTCATCCCAGGTCCCTTGGAAATCAACGACTTGTCGAAAAGGTAGAGCTGTCCCAATTTGCCACGGGGCCAAGGAAGGTAATGGACCGGACAAAGTCATAGCGCATGTGAGAGGCCACTTGCACACTCTATCCTGCCTCCTGGCGCTCGTCTTATATAGCTGGAGACGGCGGTCTGGGTAAACTGTGCGCGGCCTCGACGTGACTGCGTGCGCATCGTCGCGTTATTCCCGTTCTGCTTCTCATTGTTAGTATCTGCCACTATGTTAGACAAGAATAAGATTCCTTTGAGGCAAAAAGAGATTAGTTGAAGTAAGGTAACGATATTCATGCTGCCGTACTGTTATGAACCTTTGCAAACGATCCCTTATCTTCGTCTCTCCTGAGCATTCACTATTTTGGATAGCAACCCAAACGGCATTGATTTGGAGACACGCAAAGGATTGGACGTCGGGATGGCATAGCAGTACGGAGATGGTCATAGTTGGACCTTGAATACAGACTCGTGAGCAGCAGGTGGCGGAGTTTCAAACACGGTTTGAATTACCACCATCATCTTATCAGAACCACCTTTTCTACGCCCTTTCCTCAGTTTCCTTTCTTCAAACCCAGCAGGGCGATAGACTCTTGCAGCCATACGACGGATCCAATAAAAACTGGTCACTGTCTCCTTCCTTGGACAGCTTTGCCGTTGAACTAGGCTGACTCTTGGTGTTTCTGCTCTGGGTCAAAGATCTAGCTTGGCTTTTGGTACGTTACAACGAAATATCGCCAATGCATTGACTCACCATACTACGGCGTTTTTCTGGCTGTACTATTCTCCGTATACTTTTCCTGAAAGTATTTTATGTGTACTGTTGCACCGAATGTCGTGATGAAATTCGAATACTCTTGCCTTTGTAAGGAAGCGGCGAATGTCAATCAAAAGCGCGAATTTACGAATGTTCGTGCATTACGCGGGGATACTGAGCAGACGCCGAAACATTCAAGCATTACTACCTGAGCCAATTTGCCATGGTTGTAATAGACGCGTCGTTATTGACTTGTACTTCCGATACTATGCTCAAGTGACCGTAATATCTCCGAAAAGCCTCATATCGAGCAAAATCCTTCAGCTTATCTTCCTGCCTGTCATACTCTGAGACAAAAAAATAGTCGATTCATTCGTATTCACGGGGACACTTGGCTTGTGGTGCTGATGAATGAATGGTAGGGATGGCAAAGAACGGCAGCTAGCTTCGGAATTTCAAACACAGCTCGAACCACTACCACCACCATCTACCACCACCATCTATACCCCGCCCTTTCCTTTCTTCAAGCTCGCAGCAGTGTCCAAACCCAGCAACACAATACTACCTTCCGGCAAGACAACAGACCCCCTAATCCTCGCAATACTCGAAGTTTACGACGAACTCGAAGATCTCATGCCTTGGCTAGACCACACCCCGATTTCTGAACTTGACACGGCCCTGGAATTTGCCGAAAACGTAATATCACAGTTCAAGGTCTCTCGACAGAGAGAATCTCTCCTTCGTGAACTGGTGGCGGAAATCGTGGACATGAAGGTTGAAGTGCGTAGAACATTTGGTGCAGACTCTCGTACGTTTCACAGATCGCTTTGTACACACCTAGCATGTTTATTTCATTCTAGCTGCGTACAGGATTCTGGTCCTGCATGAAAGGCGGATCGATTATCGGTGACTATGCTCCTCGCTGTATCGCCTTGACGCATCAACTTTTTCGTCGAACTAGGTTGAAGACCATGAGGATCTTTCGCCTGCTTTTGTCCAAATATTTCTGGCTCGTGGTACTCTCTCTGTTTCTGCTCTGGTTTCTATTTCGGGTCAAAGATCTAGCTTGACTGTCGGTATGTTTTCAGCGAAATATCGCAGATGCTCGCTGTTTGACCATAATTACAGCGTTTCCGTGGCTGTATCACATTATTCTCTGTATACCTTTTCTGAGAGGACCTTATATCTACTGTTGTACCCGCACAATATCGTCAATGTAATCGAGAAAATACTCTGTAAAACGAAGTTCATCGGCGACGGCATCGTCTTGGAAAATTTTCTGTACTTTGTCAAGACGTAAAAACTGCGAACGTTCGTGCATCACGCTCGAATATTGAACAAATGTCGGAACCTTCAAGTGTTATGCATTATTGCTTGAGTCAGGGTCGTAATAAACGTGTCGTTCTTGAACCATACTTACATCTGATCCACCAAGTCTTCCTACGAAGCCTCTTATCCAAACTCTTCGAATCGGTCAGCACCATAAAACTAGAAGCTGGGGATGAGAGATAAATCCACGTATCATAATCATCTTCGAACATACTAACGCGTATCCTTTTTCAAGAAATCAAAGGAGATGAACGTAGACGCTTGGTACCCAGTATCTAAGTAACGTTTCACAGCTGCCGAGATGCTGATAGTGACATGGGGAAATGCAGCTCGAAGCCATAGCACCAAGGAACGTTTCTCAAATCTGGAGGCTGGAGCGTGAATGAGCAAATCTTCGTAACTGTAAACCCAAACAGACGGTATGACGCCTCCCTGCATAAAAGGAGGCACAAACCTAATGGCAGATGAATGCTCGTCGCTCAACCTGCCAACGTCATTGAATGAAGGTCCTGCAAGGCAGCAAGCCTTATGGGCTAGAAACACCACAAAAAAACCTGGCTTCTTCCGCTGATGAGTTGACACAGATTCGAACTGAAGATCTTCTGTGTCATTGGTAAGAGTGTAATGTGAGACCCGATAACCAACGACGCCATCAACCCAGTGGATTAACACTGCCTGGTAATTAACTGTGGACATGATGACCGACTTTTTGGGAACGGCTTCTTGAAAACGGAAAACTGTATGTCACTCTTATCCTCTTATACCGGTCTTCTAAACTCTAAACTGTATACTGTATCTTGTCCTTCCAACTTAATACAATAATCAATACTTGTAGTTGAAGAGTGCGAAGGTGCTTTCGTTCTCGTGTGAATCTTCCCATCCCTCTTCTTTACAATCATACAGATCCTTTGCTGAAATGTATCCAACTATATTGTATTGGCGCGCCGGGTGGCGTACTTGCAAAGGTTGATGCTAGGCCATACACGCCTGAAAGTCCCACCAGTAGGAATTACAAGACAAGGTCTGCTGTGCATTCTATAACACGAACGGGGCGATTTTGAGCATTGATGGTAGGAGTGTCGTTGGAGAGTCCTTGAATGTTATTTCTATTTCCACCGAGCCAAGCTACATAACTAGTCATTAATTAGAAGTAGGAAACAAGAGGAAGGAAAATAGGGCAAGCTCGAACACTTCATGTGTTGGGCCTCAGTGGCGATTATAACCGATATGCAAGGGTCTGTTATCATCGTTATTAGGTGAAACAAAAATAGTTGATGCATAAACTCCTGAACTCAAGAAGATTCTGACGCGAGTATGAGTTCTTATCTGGGATGGCACGACACCATTTTTTTGACCTGTCTTGGCTGTACAAACCTCCAACTGCATCTTGAAAGACCCACTTGCAATCACCATTCCTTCTTTCCGTCTATGAGTTAGATATCTTCGATGTTCTACAAGACCTGCACATTGGACGAGTTCCTCGTTGCTTTCCACAGAACATCTCGTATGTCCCGCTTGCTTGAAATCATACTGTTCGGGGGTCATCGACACCAAGTTCGTCTTTAGACGGGAACACCATGATATCGTTAGGTCGGTAACGTCAAAGGGGAAAAGTTAATTCCATAGACGTCTTCCGTCAAATAACAAAACATTCGGGGATTTACCAGCGATGTTCCGCCATCAACACACAAAACCGCCTATAATCCGATACTGCCAGGTAGACCGCCGTTGTCACAATCTCTGCATCACTAGAAACCTCGATTCAAATACCGATCTCATCCAAATACTGAGCGTACTCACGACCCATGCCTCCTGGCAGGTATCGGCGCCACAGCACCAGGTGCAGGCTTCGTCTTGATAATCTCCAAAATCTCAGGACCTATCAGCTGCGACGCAAACGCGCCAGGCTGCAGCACGTTCATCCGAATCGGGGTACCTCTCCCAGCAAAACTCGTCACACCATAAGCCATCTAATCAAATCAAGTCAGTTCGAGCTTTATAAACGAATATCGAGACAGATACACACGCTCCGGGCCCCAGTGTGTTGTATGGAAGAGGAGAACGGGGTCGCGATGTACGAACTTGTTGACGAGGATATCAAGCTCTGCCGTGGATTCCTTCAACGTACTTGGCGCCAGCCTTGACAGCTTCTTCGTCGGTCATGTCCATCTGCATTCTGTGTGTGGGTAAGCAATGGATATGTGGAAGAAAGGACCATCACAAACGGGATAATGGACCCTGGGACGCCTGTAACTGACGCAGCGGCCTTCTCAAGCATGTCCAACCTTCGGCCAGTGATGTATACTTTTGCTCCATTAGCAGCAAAGGCCTTTTCAATCGTAAATCCTTTGTCAGAGAGTCAACTGTGAGTCGTAAATGAAAGCCAGGAAACATACATCCCCGTCCCTCCCCCTGTAATAAGGCTTACTGTTGGGATAGCAATCCCGAGCGAGTACGAGAA